CGGGCTCGGACGCCTGGGTCCTGCGCCCGCGTTTGGCGGGCGCGCGGCTGCTCCCGGGCTCCCTCTCCAGCGGGCCGCTGTCACTAGCATCGCGGCGCCTTTGCTGTGGCTTTATGAAGCTCTCCGGGTCCCCCCTCCCCCCCAACCCCGCCACCTCGGCCCCGCCCCGCCTCACCCCGCCCCCTCGTGGCTAATACTCGGCAAATTCTACGCGGCCGGCGGGCGAGGACTGGAGGGCCCCCACGGTGGAGACGAGCAAGTCCCCGCGTGCCTCGTAGTTCGCGCTGAAAGACTTCGCCTTCTGGGAGAGTCGACCCCTCCACCCGAAACACCAGCCTGTTTCTCTCCTCTGGACCGTCGTGAAAATTCTACCCGTCCTTGAAGGCGCAGCTCAAAGGCCCCCTCCTACAGGAAGCCTTCAGTGATGGCCCAGATGGAACTGGGGCCTTCTCAGAGCACTCGCAGCCTCAGAGCCGCTTCGACCATGAACATTCAACAGATATTCATTGACGCCCACTGTGTGCCCGGGCTCTGTAAGCTAAGTGGCTTTGCGTAAAGCGTTCGCTCTCCTTCCCGGCCAGAAGCCCAGGTGGGCTGTGTCGGATGCAACTTGTTCCTCCAGCCCCAGGGCAGACTTGGAACCTGGTGGGCCCCAGGAAGAGCTCCTTGAAGGGGATTGCAACGGCAGCAGCCGCTGGGTCTGCAGGGCTCTGGGCTGGGCCCGGCCACAAAAGCTCCCCGACTTGGGCATGGCAGCTGGGAGCACTGAAGTGGCACTGGGCTGCCAGGACTCAGAGTTTCAGGCCTGGCTCTGCCTATCACTCAGGTATGTGTGACCTGGGCAAGTCACTTCCCCTGCCTGAAAGTCAGCCTCAAGAGCCTCATCTGTAGACCGGGGAAACAGCCTGATGTACTTTTCAGAGGAGATGTGAGCCCTACATGAAAGGGGGTCCCTGTGCAGCCCCCTCCCATCTATTATTAGACCTGGAGGGAGAAGCTGCTGTGAAGAGATTCAGAGGCGCTGACAGGAAGGAAACCCACCACATGTTCTGAAGGGCTGCCTCGCTGATGGGACTACGGGAGCTTTTCTTTCTGTATTTTCCTTTTCTGTGACTGATGTAGTTATATTCCTTTGATGATGAAAACAATCCTTTTTCCCCCAAATTGAAAATAGCATCATTGAGAGTTTTCCTGTGTATAAAGATAAAACATACTCATACAGAAAATTTAAGCAGTAAAAGTAAAAATAGGACTGTATAAAACACCCCAAATTCCACCCCCTGAGGCAAACAAGATTAACATTTCAGAGAATATCCTTCCAGATGTTACTCCCTGCACACTGCCTCTGTGTCAGTCTTTTGCACACTCACACACACACAAATACATAATTTTATTTAAACATCACACGTGCTGCTTTGTAATGTTTTTTTTCGCTCAACAAGGTGTTACGGAATTTTTTGCATGTCAATATACAGATAAAGATTTACATTTTTAAGAGTTTTGAAAAATACTGTAACATTTTCATCCTGTTGAAGGTTAACCTCTCTTCCCCCCATCCCCCCAGCCCTCCTCAGTTCTCCCCTGGGGGCTGGCCCCATCTCTGCATCTCTGTCCCAGCCCAACAGGGCTTCACCCTTAGGGGCCCGTGGGGACTCTCTGCTCCCAACTAGAGCTGAACGGAGAGGCAGGTTGGCAGGCGAAGGCGAAGCTGGAGACCCCAGGAGGCGGTCATGACCCAGGGAGGGTGGGAGGAGAGAGAATCGGCGCCTCCCCTGAGAACCCTGAGAACAGAGACTAGATAACGGAGACTAGATACCGACAGCCCCAGAGCCGCGGGACTGGCCTCCCCACCTCTTTACCCACCATGCCCCTGCCTTAAGGAAGGGGAAGTTTCTGCCTGTTGTTCCAAGAGAGGAGCATTGCTTGAAAGAGAGGGTGACCTTGGGACCCTTGGCTGCTTTGGGGGAAACATGAGAGATTTCAGTAAGACTCCCCCTGAATGACTGATTTCCCCAGGACACATGAGACTGTTGAATGCTGACACCTCTTTTTGCTAAGTACTTGGCTGTGGAAGGCCAAATGGAGTCTTGTTCCTCTCTCTCCCCCTCCTCTTTTCCATGCTGATCCTCAGGTCAAGTGATCCATCCCCCTGCCTCTGATCACGATGACCTGAGCTCCCACCCAGCTTTCTGGGGCAGGAAGGATTATGAATCTCAGAATCAGGTGGACGTGGGGACATATCCCTGGAGGAAGAGGGTGGCTGGGGGCAGTCTCGCTGTAACCTCATGGGCTCTTAGAGGGTCTTACAGGCTGGCTATCAACCACAGATTCCTCACCTGCCTGCCTCCAATTTCTTCCATCCAAAAAAGAATGTGCTTGTGAAAAGCGGGGGATGAGTGGCCTTGGTGTCACCACTGCCAGTTCCGCCCCTCTGCCAGCTTGGGTGAGAAGAATAACCCTGGCAGTGACACCTCCTCCTCCTGTTGCCACCTCACCCTATTCCGAGGCCCCAGGGATGGAGAGGTGGGAAAGGAGGAGCAGGAGAGGACGCCCCCTGGGATCCCCTCTCTTCCCCATCACTGCCCCTCCCAGCCCCTCTCTCATCCCATCAACCTGCTGAGCATCCAGAAAGCTGGCCCTGGTGGGGCGGGAGCAAAGATACACAGGGTGTGTGTCCAGGATGGGGGAGTCATGGTCTATGAGACAGCCTGGATGGGAAATATGGGAGCTGAACAACTTAGCAAGCTCATACACTCCATTCGTGGCACAGCCAGGGCTGGAACCCTGTCTCTTGACTCCTGATCCAGTGCTCTTCCCACAAGAGTGTTTGCCTTCCCATTTTGAGGGAGAACAATAATAATAAACGAAAAGTCATATGATCACATCAGAAAAGGTTTGGAAAACGGAAAAGAAAATTGCCCCTAACCCCCCAACCTGGACCCCGGTTTTCCTCTTGTCCTCTGTGTGTATTCAAGGCTTCTCTTCCAGCCGTTTCCCATCAAGACTCAAAATGAGCTTGGCTCCCTGATGTCACACAGCACTGGCCACACCTGTGTGTCGTAGACTGTGCCGGGAAGCTGTGACAATGTGGATTCCTGGGACCTGCCTCCAGAGACTCTGATTCGCAGGCCTGTGGCAGGTCCTCAGAGTCTGTGCGTTTAAGAGGGACTCCAGGTGACGCTGGACCCCATGGAGTCCACGCATCCCTCTCTCAGGCCCCCTGCCACTTTGCTCACCCACCTCCAAGCCATGTCCCATCCTAAGAAAGTCAGTGTGCCCTGACCTTGCTTGCTGTGCCCTCCTCGGTGCAGGGAAGGAGGCTGAATGTCTGAGGATGGCTGCTACAAGCATTGAGAAGATTCTTTTATCGAAGCTCCAAGACCAGACAATTCTTCATCCCAGAATCTAACAGCCACTTGAATCCTCTCCTTACAGTGTGTGGAGTCCTGAACTCCTCCAGGGCCCCTGAAAGCTCCTGAATGGGCTCATGCTGCACGGTGCAGAAGGGCTGAGCAGCAAGTACAGTGAGGCAGCTGGGGAGAGGCTGGCTGCTAGTAGAGACCCAGACACAGGGGCACCAGCACCCGGATTTCTGCCTTCCACCCTGCTGGGCACAGCCTGAGAAGCTGTGAGAGAGGAGATAAGAGACAGAGAGCCAGGCAGCGTGTCGGGGATGAGGCAGGAAAGGAAGGAGAGAGCACAGTGAGAGGCCTGGGCTGCATTTCTGAGAGATTTAGAGATGGAGAGGGACAGGGACCGCAGAGTCAGAAACCCAGAACATGACTCAGTGAGAAAGTCTCATGCCAGGCAAGAGGGGGATGCAAGAGGAAGAAGAGAGGAAGACGAGCAGTGAGAGGTGGAGACATCTGTGGGTACTGGAGGCTGGGGCAGAGGGAAATGGGGGGGGTGGCTTGGAACCCCAATTCCAACCATCACTGTCTGTGTGGGCTGTTCAAGTATCCTAACCTCTCGGGTTTCCTTGTCAGTAAATGGAGTAATAGACCTACCAGGATGAACTGGGTCTCAAGTGAGGTGTGAGGTAAAGGCTGAGGGGTTCTGCCCCAGGCAGGAGCAGGACAGAGGCACAGTCTGTGCTAAACTGCCTCCTCTTTCCCCTTTTCCACTTGCCTGCATCTTACCTTTCCTCCCTCTGGCATCCATTGGTCCCCACAAAGGGACCTTCAAATCCAGCCTCCAGCCTCCACTCAGGGCCTTGGGCCAAAAGAGAACTTCTCCGTATATAAGACCCCATCTCAGAAAGGACAGGCTTCCCTCATGATGCCCACGCACTGTTGTCTGGAGATTCAGGTACTGAGGGCTAGGATGGGCCAGACCCTGGGGACTCTGGGCTCACAGAGATAAATCAGGCTCAGCCCCTGCCCGCAAAGAGCTCCTAGCAAGGTGACCCTGGGGCCAGAGTTCTCAAGCTCCTCAGCCCCCTTGCCCCTCGGGTGTGGACTTGCAACACACCAGCCTGTGCACGACATCACCACATGTGCGCACACTCACTGCCCACAGAGCTACACCAGACTGTGATCCAGTCCCTGCAGCTGCACCCCCTTCTCTTGTCCCACATCCCGTCTCCCTGAGCTCTTTGGGCATCTGCCTCTGCTCACCCCACCCGCTCTGAAACACACCCCTCCCCCCCCCCCCCCCCCCCGGGGCTCAGACTGCCAGGCCTGCAGAGAGCATGGCCGGAACCATCGGATTAACAGCCAGGGAGGGCAGAAGGCGAGTGACAGGCACCTGTAGACCCCCTCCCCCCATGACAGCTGCAGGAGTTCCGAGTCCCCAGCACCCAGCACCAGGTGGTCAGTGTGGGCTCATCCCAAGGTCAAGGGCTCCGGGTTCTCAACCCCAGGCTGACTCACCCTTCCCTCCCCTTG